CACGTTAGTTGAATATAATTGATTTGGTCCTGTTTCTGGAGGAGCTTTTCTCACGATTCAGTGCTTCTGGAGATGCCTGATCAGCCTCATTACTTTTTGAACCTCCACGAACCTATTTTGCTTATGAGACATAGCGATTTTCGTTTAGCAGTGATGACGTCATAGCTCAGAGGCTTTCCTTTATTGACTGGCTACCCCTTTCATGGTACATGCTGATGTCACTATATGAAGTCGCGTTCGCTCCGAGATCCGAGTGGCCGATCACTTTGTGCCTGTGATCGAGCTATGATAACCTGCTAACTTATCCCTGCAATATATCAAATCGATTCATCGCAACCCGCAGGCCTGTCCCTCTAGTATAGCTGGGTGGAAATTGCCTCGAGACTTCTTTTCCTAAAATACCAATCACTCCTTAGAACCCCGTGCCAGTGACAGTGTGCAAGTAGACATCAAGTCGCCCCACCAGAAACATTTCTAATTTTTGAGTTATAAATGTTTCCTTTTTTTGCTCTTTGCATTAGTGGATTTTTCACCTTTCCACATACCCTATTCTTCTGAAGCAGTATTATTCACTTCAGTCTCCTTAAGAACAACAACTTTTGCCGAGGCAATTCATATTTGTTGGAATTGTACTTATCCACTGCTCAGCTACTCTGGACCAAACAGCCTCTCCCCCAGCTAATGCCAAACTGGCCCCTTCCACGAATGTTGTCGGTATGCCCGTGTTTCGAACGTACCGGTAAAATTTTGTGACGCCTAGCTGCGACCTTACCGCACCATTAGCGCACCTTCCCGCGTCAAGGAGCGGAATCACGGATTCGTTGAGCGAAAATTTCTTCGTAGCTTAATCAATTTTCTAATGATGCTCTTAATGGTCCCTTATACGACTTCCGACTTTTCCGCGAATGTACAGAGCTCCTGTACATCTCATACTCGCTACCTCTTCACTGAGTCCTTGATTATCTCTATCCGTTTTGACTTGCGTTTGAATACAAACAAATAAATAACTGAATAAACAAGCAAATGAATTGACAAATGAATAAGTAGTACCTTTCGGTAATAGTACCTCAATGGTCAG